TGAGGATTCACTCTCTGTGTGCACTGTATCGACTGGCTGCTGCTGCTGCACTGTTACCTCAGGGGTGGATGGTGCTTCCTCTTTCTCCTCTTCTTCTGAGGATTCACTCTCTGTGTGCACTGTATCGACTGGCTGCTGCTGCTGCACTGTTACCTCAGGTGTGGATGGTGCTTCCTCTTTCTCCTCTTCTTCTGAGGATTCACTCTCTGTGTGCACTGTATCGACTGGCTGCTGCTGCTGCACTGTTACCTCAGGGGTGGATGGTGCTTCCTCTTTCTCCTCTTCTTCTGAGGATTCACTCTCTGTGTGCACTGTATCGACTGGCTGCTGCTGCTGCACTGTTACCTCAGGGGTGGATGGTGCTTCCTCTTTATGCTCTTCTTCTGAGGATTCACTCTCTGTGTGCACTGTATCGACTGGCTGCTGCCGCACTGTTACCTCAGGGGTGGATGGTGCTTCCTCTTTATCCTCTTCTTCTGAGGATTTACTGGCTGTGGGCACTGTATCGACTGGGTGCTGCTGCACTGTTACCTCAGGTGTTGTAGGTGGGTCTTTTGTTGTTGAGTTTTCGTTGTCAGTTTCGTTTACGAGGTTGTAGGGCTTTATGGTTTTCATTTGATTTGTTGTGGAATTCTTTTGCTGTTTCCACCTGTTGTGTGAATGGTTTTCTGTTGATGGTCGTTCTGTTTTTAGTGGTGATGGTGATTGTAGTATTGAGTGGTTGGTTTGCCTTTGGTATGTGTGGGTGTGTGGTGTGTGGCTCATTGGTGTGTCTCTTATTTTATTTGAGTCATTTATGGTGTGTTCATGTATGATTGTATCTTGTATTTGTTTTCTTGCTTTTTTAAGCTCGCATTCTACTAGTCGATTTTTATCGTTGTGTACCTTTTTTGGTGTGTGCTTTTCGATGTCTTCGGTGGAGTTGTTCTGCTGGTCGTCGTTTTGTTGTTGTTTGCGTCGTTGTTGGTGGTGGTAGTGATGATTTCGAGTTGGCGTTGTCGACGAGGTGTTGCTGTGCGATATGGATATTGTGCGTCCAGGGGTTGGTGGTTGACGTGGTCGTGAAGGTTGGCGACGCTTGTGTGAGGGCGGTTGCGGATTTAAGATTTGCTTCCGTTGTTGTTGTATACTCATTTCATAGTAATACAGTCTATTGATAAGGTCTTCCTGTTCCTTTCGTGTGAGAACGGAGGGTGTTGTGGCGCGGGAGCGGTGTATTTCTCTGAAACGCGTTCTGCCTCGTGTTTGTGGTGTTGCGTATCTAATATTGCTGTGTTGTGTGCTGTAGCTCGGGGTTGGACTTGGTGTTGTAGGTGAGATGGGAGATGCAGATATCCGTCCTCTTGTGGAGTTCTCATGATGAACTGCAGAGATATGGTGATCGCGTGCGAGGTTGATGAGATATGGACGAGATAAGAATTCATTTGGATCCTCTTGCCGATTGTAATGATACCGTTCAAGGTGTTTGGAGCTGTTGATGACTTTTTCCCCACCAACTACTAGTAGCTTGAGGAGGGATATATTCCGAAATGGTAGTCGTTTGCGGATATGTCGAATATGGGAATGTTGTTGTTCTTTTTCGTTTTGTTGTTGTTGTTGTCGTCGCATCTTTACTGTTGTGGCATCACAGATAGCCAATCCCATACGTGTGGGACCGGGTGAAGTTGCAAACTCAATTTTACGCCAGAATTGAGAAACCTGAGAGAAGAGAAACATTCGTAACGGATGACTTGGGGCTTCAGATTCTCCGCCAATGAGTAGGAGACAAGGGGTTTCTTCAATGATCACCGCATTAAGAGCGGCGAGATGCATAGGAGGTGGTGCTATTGTCCCGTTGTGTAGAATACGTTTCCATGTACGTGTTTCCATATTTAACTCGTGAAGATCATCCAATAGTTTCTCTGCACTTGACATGCCGCCATACATAAACATGAGAGATCCTCTTGTGCTTGTTGCGTGGCCGTAGCGTGGTTCAGGGCGAACAGAACCTTCACAGGACCATGTAAACCAAGTATGCATACGTAAGTTTAATACTAAAAGTTCATTACAGCTACATACCTCATCCTCTTCATCCTCTTCTTGTTTCTTTTTTCCATTATTTTCATATACGACGGTTACATCCCATTCTTTCTTTTCTTCTTCTTGTTCCTCCCTATTATTATTTACTGAATGAGAGGGGTATGATTTATGATGTTTCTCTCGATAATGCGGTGTCTTACCTCCCACTACAATCATATTGTTATTATAATATGCTGCGGAGTGCCTCCATCGAGCCTTATTCACGGATATATGATTACCTGATGAATATACTGTTTCTATGCATTCTGCAGTACTATCAAGGAGGTGAATACACCATACATCGTTTAAATATGACATGTGTTTATAGGAGTGAGTTTTTTTAAGAACAGATTGAGACCTTTTATTATTATTATTATCATCATCACTATCATAATCACTCTTATTGCAATTATAAATGTCATTATTTCTCTTATTACTACTAATACCGTTACTTTTCCAGTTTATCGGGACATTTTTTCCAGTAGCAATTCCACCATATACATAAACAGCATTTATAGTTGGGCAGTACACTGCGGTATGTCCCTGACGTGCTGCGAAGTTCACATTAAGGTCTCTCCAACATTGTTGAGGATGAGAATAAGGATGAAATTGACTCTGTGGTGGTATCACTTCTAACGAAACAGGAAACCATTCATTATCATTAAAGGAATAATAATACACAGAAGGAGCACTTCGCACCGGGATTCCACCCAATAGTAGTGCCCCATCATATCCACAGCGGGTTAGTGTGTGATAACTAACAGCTAATTCACTATTTCCTCCTCCTATTTCTGTTACTGCTGTTGTTATTGTGGACGTTATGAATGGAACAATGAGAGGACCTGGACAATTCCGTCGTAGTCCTTCTTCTTCCTTTAACAGTTTACGCCATCGTCTTTCTCCCTCCGCACGTTGATGCTGCTCTTTGTATGGATCAATTTCTAATGATCCATGATACCAGTTAATAGCAGTTGCTTCTCTTTCGGAAAGGAGTGTCCCTTGTCTATCAAGACCATCAGCAATAATAGACCACATGTGTCTCCCATTTTCACTGATTAAAATACGAGTACGTGTAGTACAGGCATCTCCAAAGACAAAAACTGTCCGAACCAATGAAGTTGTAGAGGGTATTGATGTGGATAGACGTACGGTAGTAACATAAGAAGAGGAAGAAGAAGAAGAAGCAAGTGCATTATCATTATCCTCTTGAAAAGAAGGTGATGATATAGTCAAGTGATGCTGTTTACGTCGAAAGTGATTTCTACCTGCTGAATTTATATCACTAGAAATAGACCGTGTTGGTGGAGGTTCTTCTACAGGTTCATCATATCCGATAGGTTCACTGGCAATACGTACAATATAATACATTGCATATGATGTTGGGATAGTTCTTGTCATACGGATTGCCCAAAGCCACGGTGATGGTTGATATGTTATTGGTACTAGTTCCTCCTTTAGTGAGGCTTTAATCCATTCCGCCTGTATACGTAAGAGGAATTCCTCATTTACACGTGTTATCCCAGCAACAAGACCGGAAGTAACATGAGAAGGAGTGAGATCAATTTCAAAGTATTTTCCAGGCCATATTATGGAAGAATCATTATGAATTTCTGCTACTCCCATTTTCTTGCGTTGATTCAGATGTTTTTTCAAATTCTTAAGTGAAGTTCCAAAGGCTTTACGGATATCATTATCATTATTATTCACTTGAGATGAAGTTGAAATATGGGGAACGAGTGCAATACATAGTGTTAACTCCTTATCAGAAGAACATAGAAGAAATTCATTATATTGAATTGGCATATACTCTTGTTCCTGTTCTTGTGATGACGAGGTTCCCATTATCATTGGATAAAAGCAACAAAAGAAATACTTTGATTGTTTACTTCTAGCTTCATTTTTTCCAGGTTTAAACCATATACCCAATATGATTCTAGGATTCTTAACCTCTGTGATTTGGGACTCTACAGTATATGAATGACGTAACAAGTGTAGAGAGCGGATACAAAGTACATTATCATTCTCCTCATGATTGGCATACTCCACTCTTCCACAAAGATGCAGAATAGCGTAATTTGTACAAGATGGAGTTACAGAGTCAATAGCCATTTGAACATCAATTGGTGATGAACATTCTTTATCATTATCAGATTCCAAACGAGAAGGTAAAAGAAGAATATGACCTTCGCCAATGCAAAATGGATTATGCAATCGATCCGCCTCTGTGCGAGTGGCAAATGCTAATACCTTACACCGCAACTCAATACTACCATCACCCCTTTTATTATTATTATTATTATTATTATTATTATTATTATTATTATTATTATTATTATTATTATTATTATTATTAGAGACGGTGTTACCCAAATATCCCATACCCTTTACGTTGTAAACAAAAGAGGTTCGATTAAAACAAAGCTCAAGACTTGACTCATCTTGCAAATTTCTGAGTAACAACAGTTCGGTGTGATCCACAACACGTGAAACGGCCTCTGCTGTGTTGTCTCTTGCATCTGAGATGATGATACGTAGTGCCTGAGCAGAAGGGGCATCAGGATATGATAGCAAAGAGATGAGATTTTGACAATTTGGTACACAAAGACGAAAGGTATAACTTCTACTAAGGAAAGGTGTACTTATAGAAGGTCCACAAGATAAAAAAGAATTATTTCCTAAACGGTATTGAAGATTAAGAGAGATAATATTATCATGATGGTCCTTTAATTGCAGTGAAAGTGGCATCCACTTTCCTGGTCGCGTCATATCAATAGCGATAGGATCGTGACACAACAGCATAGACTCCTGGCCATCTACTGCATTGTATTGTTGAATAAGTACAGAAAGTCGTGCAAAAGGGGAAATAGCAGGAAAAAAAACAGATTGTATTCCAATACCAAAACTTGGATGATTTGAGGTAATCAATAAATGTCGACACACCGCAGGACCAGGATCAGTAGATATAATGTCATTGAATGTTTCTCCTTTATCTTCAGGAGGGAGAGCAAACCACATCTCTACTACTGTGGGTGGTGGTGATTTTTGAGGGGAAGTAGATACAGTACCTTTCTCTATTTCCTCTACGCGAACCTCAATAACACTTCCCTCACCTAATTTGCTTACAGCCTCATAGTTAAGAAGGGCTTCACGATACGCCGAAACAGTCATCATTGTAAAAGCAACTTCTACATCGTCTGCATCACAGTGTATGGTTTCTTTGGCAATAACAGCATCTTCAATATATGGATGCGGTGTCCATTGTACCATCTGATGATCTCCACCATTCTGTAAACCACCGAGATGAGGTGGTGTACCTAACGAAATCTCACCTTCGCCAATCAAGAATACACATTCCTCAGCAGAGTTACTTCTTTCCTTTTTTATATCCTCATTATTATCACTATCGTTAGATGATGATGATGAAGAGTATCGAAGCATTCCTCCATGTGTTGAACTACGGGGAGTGGTGTTGCTGCGTTGTGTGTAGGACTCCAGCACTGAGCATCGAATGTGGAACATCTCCTCAGAAACATTATCCTCCTTTAGTTCCGCATGATGAAGTGAAGAAAAGGGGAGAAGAATGGGTTGACTCATTTGAGGAATCTTCGCAGCATTCTCACGTGTTGCGGCTCTTGTGTGAAGGAGTGGCAATACTTCATCATTTCCCTGATCAAGTGAGAGAATGATCTCTACAATGCGGTTTGGTGCCGCATTTCGGGGACTAAGAGAAACTAATGTGATGAGAAGAATAAATCGATGTGGTGGTACACCAGCAAAGAGATTGGATGCTGTTGATAACTGCCGCTGTGGCTGTGGCTGCGGCGGTTTCCCTATGGGAGAAGATGATGACGATAATAATTTCTCTGAAATATAACTCCTTTTGTTTTTATTCCTCTTCATTTGATAATCTTCCTCCGATATTTTCTTTTTATGGAGTTTGTGGGTATGTTTAGTGTCATCCATTATAATCTTAACAGAAGGGCTTTTTTGTCCTACTAGAAAAGGCCCTCCAGAACCCAAATTCATGGAATCCGAATTTTCTTCTACCATTGGACCACATGTAACTACCGATAACTCCTTACGTTTGTGATAATCCCAACTTCCCCCATTATTATTATTATTTTTATTTTTATCTAATGACAGCAATTGTGGACACACGGTCCAGAGTAACACTACTTGAAAAAACCTCTCACCATCACCTGGCACACGAAGAGTAACAGGTTCCTTAGGCTCACAACTAGCATCTAACACTACAACGGTATTAGATCTATCTCCACTATGAAACCTAACTGGAGATGGGGCAATAAGTAACTCATACATGGATGTATCCACATCTTTCTTCTCTTTGTTAAGACTATCTACACTAGCAATAGCAGAGGAATTAGGCCGCGAGAGTGTTATCGGGGCACGTGTGGGAACTTCCACCCATTGCCAATCACAGTGCGGGCCGCCAAATCGCACCGCCACACGCGGCTGCCATGGCCTACACGAGAGAATCTCAATATTAATAGCAGTAGTGCGTTCTTGCATAGAAAACACAATTACACACACTCAAATATATCAATCCTGCTTAATAATAATAATAATAATAATAATAATAATAATAATAATAATAATAATAATTTCCTTATTTATCCTACTTTTGATTTTAAACTTTTTTCCTTTTTGTTTTGATGATGTCTTCCACTTCACCACCCCTCTCTCCCTTGTCTAATATGTTTTTCTCGATATATATATATATATATATGTTCCAATATGAGAAAAAAAAAGGGTCTCGACAACCAAAGAAAGGGAACTTATGTTTCTTGTTTTTTTTTTTTTTTCGCCTTAATTGAGTAGAATGGCACTAGCAATAATAAATAAAAAAAATAGAGGTTGTCCTTCTCTCCAGACAATAAATTGTCGCACTATAGAAGAGAGAGAGGAAAAAAAAGAAAAAAAAGAGGAGAAAAGCGTCAATGAATCCCTCTTCCCCATATAAAGAGCACTTTTCTCTCCTGTTTCCGTGTGCCCTCAAAGGTTTTTTTTTTTTTTTTTATTAGAAAAAACAAAACATGTACAATGGTTTAATACGTGCAATCCTATAATAAATACTGAAATTTCAAAAAAAAAAAATGAAAAAAAAAAAAGACAACCAAAAAGAGAATAGACTGAATAGCAAATCGCCCATTAACCAGACGTATATATATATATATCTGTGTGGGAGATCTGTACAACTATCCAGGTGTACTCCTCATACGGAACAACACCAATCACCACCAGCAAAAATAAAAACAACAACAACCATAACGAGAGAAACATCAACAAGGATACAAAACTATATCAATAGAAAAGAGACGAAACTCGCAAAAATAAAAAAAAAAAGAAAAAAAAAAAAAAAACGCCAAGTATCAAAGGTATCCCTCATTGAATCCAATCGACACCTCCTGTTGTCCAATCTCTTGACGTTGATAACAGTGCAGCAATGCTTTATTCTCACGCCGCTCTCTTCCCAGTGTTGTCAGGCGTCCATGGCCAGGCAGCACTACGGTGTTATCCGGCATCATCTCAAATAACCGCAGACTCTCCGCAAGGCGGACGCCTGTTGCCCACGGCAAATCCACACGTCCAACTTTATTGTAGAAAAGTACATCGCCCGTAAAAAGAAGTTTCTCACTGGGTACATGCAACATCATATGCCCCGGTGAGTGTCCAGGGGAAAAGATATAGTACAATAAAATACCATCGCCAAAGTCAATAAAAGAAGAGGCTCTGTTGGTAGCAGTAGAGAGTAATACATCATTTCGTCGGAAACGAGTACTACTACTATTGCTAGAGAAACCAGAAACTATTGGATTTACTAAATGCTTTGGTGTATATAAGTTTCGACACATCATGGGGAGAACGGAGTGCATTTCCTCCAATCGACGATATCGTTCACATGCACGTCCAAAATTCTGCACCCAACATTCCTCTGCAGGACACCACATGATTCCAATCTTCTCACTACCATCCTGATCTGTTTCATCCTCAGCAGAATGATACGATTTTTGTTTTTCTCCTTGTTGTTGTTGTTGTTGTTGTTGTTGTTGTTGTTGTTTTTGTTGGCGACCACAAATGCCTAAGAAGGCGTTTAGATTTATAATATTATCAATGTGACAATGTGTAAGAAAAATGTGCGTCAACGTTAAGGATGATGCCGCAATAAAAGCGGCCCAATCATCCGGCCAGTCATCTGCTGCATCAATCAACATACACCGCTTAGTGGCCTTATTAATAAGCATAAATTGATTACTGTCAAAGTTATTGCAGCGATTCCGACCAGCTAAAATCACTTTAGGAGTTTCGTGTAAAACCGCAATAGACTTTGCTTCTAATCTTTTAAGGCGGGGAATGCCTGGCGGTGCGCCGTTGCTTCCCCACTTGCGAAGTCGTTCACTGCGGTTCACTTGATTCGTCAGTGAGGTGAGATTGGGGGTGTAGCCGCAGCGTGAAGACAGTGAGGGGCGCATTGGCTCTCACTCTCCCTCTCTCTCACTCTTTTCACACCCAAAGCTGCTGAGCAATAATAAGAAAAGAAAAGAAAAGAAAAGAGAGAAGAGAAAATAATTAACAAAATATTAACTGATTACAAGTAGAAACATGAGGGGTACATTACCACCAGCAAGATCGTAATAAGAAGAAAAACAAAAAAAAGAAGAATACCAGTGGAATCATTTTTTTTTTTTAATGATATCAGCAAATAATAAGGGAATACAACACAGTGCAATTCATAGTCATATATATATGTCCTTCTTTTATATTTACGATGTCGTTCTTTTTTCTTTTCTTTTTTTTCTCCCCGTTCTCCTTTTGTTTCATCGTTGTTTTCCTCCACACTCAATATCTGTTTGCCACTTTTTTTTGTTTTTTTTTTTTTGGTTCATTCCCACTCGTACACTTTTTCTTTTACTCCACATTGACAAAAGATACCACTTCTCATTCCTTCTCTACGCCTCCATCATTATATACCGTAGTCATATATCCACACAAAGAGAGAGAGAATATATATATAAAAGAAGGAGAAAGATAGGCACGCAAAAAAAAAAAAAAAAATCAAAAAGAAAAAAAAAGAGCCATCCCTTCCTTCACTCATTCTTCCCCTCATCCCGCTTTCTTGTCTAGCGTTTTTTTTTTTTTTTTGTTCTTGTTCTTCTTCTTCTCTTCCTTTTCTGTTTAGAAATAATTCCATATGTATATTATCTCTAATTTCTTCCACGCTAAAAATTACGGAATTTGTAGCGGATTACAGGGATATCAGCATCAACATCGCCAATAGTGCCAGTGGCCACAAGACAGCAGCAGTCATCACCTTCGTGTAATTCCTCCCCCTTCTCACGAGCCACAACGGAGACGGGTTTACTACGATCCTTCGCATTACCAAATTGTGAGTAAATCATTTTACCACTTGCGAGAGCAATGATGAATATTTCCATTTGATAGCGTTGTTCCAGTAGAGAAACCAATTTTTCTACAGTAATATCGGACCCCTCGTTCACATCAATACGATCCCAAATACTCCATCGAATAGAGGAACCATCTGGTAATTGATACGACATTCCAGGGGCAATAATAGGATCAGAGAATGCCATAAAGGGCAGTGCAATATTTACAAAGGAATTACGGTAAATAGAGAGTTGTTTTCGCACTTCCTCTGGTGAGAGTCCCGCATTCACTGCTCCTCCACCACTCATTGTTGTTCGTCGATGATGGAGAAGAAGATATTTAAGTGCTTCTATCATGGCAAGACCTGTTACCAGTGATGTTGTTGTCACCATGGCGGGAATAATATTTCCAGCAATACGTTTTGTGCGATGAACATCTGCGGGTGGAATTCCATACGCCGCCGCCCGCATATTAGAGCAATACGTAATATACTCCACATGATGATTGGTAGGATCATCCTTCTCAAATGTCTGTGGATACATATGTCGACCATGGAATTGACTTGCAGGTGGAAGATCTTGTATTCCAATATCACCACCAGTAGAAGTAGTAGTAGAGTGAGTTGTGGATGGATCTTCCTTTTCTGTTTCACTGGTGGCGAATACAGCTTTTCGTGGGACAAATTCCGGTACAGTGGTTTCCTGTGCAATTCGCACAACATCATTTCTGGATAGTGTGAAGGGTTCCACACCATAGACACGTGCTAATAATTGGGCACAGTGATAAATAAATAAAACACTTATTTCAGAATCTGGTGAAAACTCCTGCGGAGTTGGTGGTTTCTTTGCTCCACTCCAAAATAAATCCCCCTCCGCATTTCGTTTATCAAGAGGAATATTATGTAATAACTGTCGGAAGGTATCATTAAAATACTCATGATAAAGCATTCGAGCCAATCGTACACAATCCACGGCATTGGATGGCCATCTTAATAAGGCTTCTCGTACAGCCTTTAACACAATAGTCTTAGTAGCAGGATCACGTTCCAAATTAGCTGCAAAAGCTGCAGGATCCTCAAGGTATGCATTTACATCTGTAGGTGTCGTACAGAAAAGTGTTTGAAAGTTATCACGTGCCCATTGAATGGTGTGTTCAATAGCATTTGGAAAATTCTTTAATGTGCAGAGTGGAATAGCCTTTTCAGGAGGATCATAGCTATTACTGTAACTTTCCGTACAATAAGGGATAACACACTGCATATTACACTTGGTACCTAATGTACCACTATCAAAGAGAGGTTTTTTATAAAATAAACAGCGAGCATCCACATATTTACGACTCTCCATATTATCAAGTGCATTTAATATAACGGTATGAGCATCCCAAAAGGCTTCATTAAAGATACCTTCTGTCTCTGGTGCGACTTTTTCTACAAGTGCTGTAACTTGTAAATCATTATTAATTGCCTTTGCCGCTTCACCTGCCACAGTTGACTTTTGTTGTCCAATATGACTGTTTCGAAAGAGAAACTGTCGCGATAGATTACTCATCTCAATCGTATCCATATCGGTAATCGTTACACCAGCAAAACCCATACAAGCCGCATTCTTAATAAGTTCACATCCTAAAGCACCAGCCCCAACAATGAAAGCCCGTTGCTTTGATAAGTATGATTGAAAACTTGCCCCAAGAACCGCTATCTGATGATCATAGCGATTACCATTAGAAGAAGGATGAAGATCCATTTCATTTACTTCTCCACGTGCCTCCAGTAATTCTCGTGCATCATAATATAACCATTGATGGATTGGTGTAAATTTACCACTGCAAACTTTTAAAACCTCTTGGGCGGCAATACCACCAATAAGACAAGCCATAGGGTTAAGACTTCCATGCATAACAGAAAGAATACGTCTGGCAGTATTTACATCAAAGTTTCCATGATGATTTATACTGCTATAATATACTTCTGCTACTTTTAGTACGGCATTGATTTCATTGGTTGTTTTTGGTAAGGCACCATGTTCATGTACGGCACGGAATAAGGCATGAAGCATAGGTGGTGCGTTTATTTTATCTTCACTATCAAATATAGTGACAAACTCTGGATCTACTACACTTGCCTCAAGATCTTTAAATCCCATGAGTATTTGTTTTTTGGTGGTATGCAAGTAGGCACTTGTACCAATCTCAATTTTGTTATTCCCAAGTGAAGCTTCAAAGTCCTTTAGACGAAGAATATAAGGCGAAATCACCTCTGCCACTTCAAACAATTTCAGTGATTGGGTTGCTTGTGTATTATTATTATTCTTATTATTCTTATTATTATTATTATTATTATTATTATTATTATTATTAATGCTGGTCTGTCGTCCTCCATGAAGTGTGGATGGATCCACAATGGAGTTTAATGTCTCTGGGGCGAGAATCCCCGTAAAGAAGACGTGACTGCCCACCTCACACTCATGCTTTTTATCCTCATGCAGTGTCACCAGTCCATCGGCGGAGATGCTGGTCACCACACACGAGACCGTCTCCTCGCCGTCGGTGTCACACACCGCGTGGGAGGGGCCGGCGTCGACAAACACACATCCCGCCACGCCGCGACTCTCGCAGGCCACAAACGGCACGCCGTGTTCCCGCGCGAGGGCATTCTCCGCCAGCAGCGCCGTTGTGCGTTGATTGACAAACACGACAACATTCGCGTGCGGGAGGAGTTCCTGCAGCGTCGCGCCGGCCGCGTCCGTGACGCTCACAAACCGATTGAGTTCGGCGGCGCGGCGGGCAACGGCGGCGGCTCGCGGAGTGGCGACATCACCGGCGGCCCGCAGGAGAAAATTGCTGCCGAGATCCGCCGGACTGACGGGCGTCTGGTCGCTGACCGCAATCGCCCGCACGCCGGCCAGCGCGAGATTCTTCACAATCTCCGCCGCCAGGCCGCAGGCCCCAACGACGAGAACAGACGTGGCGCCGTACCGCTCCTGCGCCTCCGCACCGACAACGTACTCCTGCCGGTTGTACAACTGCCGTCGCTCCGCCTCTTCTACAGACATCTCCACTGTAGATATATATATATATATATATATTTAGATAGATATAGATATAGATAGATATAGATAGTTAAATAGATAATATGAGTCTGTAGGTGTATATAGCTTTTTCTCTCTCTACTCGGCTTCTCTGGCAGAGAGTTAAGTTGATGTGATGAGGCTTGTGGAGTGTCTTTACTTTACTTTTTTTTTCTTTTCTTTTCTTTCTCTCTTTCCTTCGTTCCTGTCTTTTTTTTCCCCTGTTTTCTATCTTCAGTTATTTTTCTTTCGTTTTTTTTTTTACTTTTTCTTTTTTCTTTTCGTTGCGTTTCCTTCTCCCAGAGTCCTTTTGTCTATGAAATAACTTACCTTATTCAATCCTATACTTTCTTCTGTTCTGTGTAATCGCTTGTTCCTTTCTCTCGCTCTATATACAGAAGTGTTGCGGATGCTTGAGTGTCAGCGCTGCAATGGAGTGCCTTCTCTATAAAATGAAAAAAAAAAATGATAATAACAACAATAATAATAATAATACCAATAATAAAAGGAAATCAAGATTTGCTTTTTTTTTTGTTGTTGACAGGGAAATAAAGGTGTAAGTGAATATAAATAGAAAAAAAAAATGATATAAACAAGCAAAGAAAAAGGAAAAAAAAGGAGACAAGCAGAAGTAAGCTGTGGCTCTGTAAATAACACAGAGAAAGTCTTGATAACACACACACAAACAGAGAAATAGATAAATAGGGCAAATCGTAACCATAACTATTTCAAATGATAATAATAATAATAAAATACAAAAAGACAAAAAAAATTGGTATCGTTCTTTTCTATTCTTTCCTTTTTTCTTTCTCTTTTCTCTCTCACTCCCACCCCTTTTTTTTCTCATCCCTTAAAAAAAACAAAACAAAAACAGAAACACACAGAGAAACATCTATGTATCTACGGCATCATAGTCCCAGGAATCGCAAAAAAAAAAGAAGAAAACAAAATCATTTTTTTTTTTTTTTTTGGTTATTCATATACATATAATATATATATATATATATATATATATATATATATATGAATATAAATGACTGTGTGTGAGTATGTATGGGTAGAGACATATCATACTCACTCCCATAGTACAGTACCGGTGGATGAAAAGTTAAATTTTCCCGCACAATGTTGAGTAAAGTAACTCCACCATTAACTTTATTCCTTACAGTCTTCCCCTTGTTTCTTTTTTTTTTCCCCTTCTTTTCTCTCTCTCACTCTCTCTACTTTCCATTCAATACAGATTTCTTGTTTACTCCTTTTTTTTTTCT